ACATTATCTTCGTTGTCCAATATCTGCGACGAAAGCAAACCTTCTAGTTTGCTTTCTAACGAAAACTTCGCTTCGTCGAAATCCACCCCTACTAATCTTGTCAACCATGCTATCGATTCTCAATATTTAGTCTTGCCTCCTTGCGACATCGAAATCTTTAGTGGAGATTTTATGTCATGGCCAACATTTCGTGATCTGTTCACCACGCTGTTCATAAATAATTCTCGTTTGAGTGACATTGAAAGATTGTGTCACTTGATTCAAAAAACCAGTGGTGAGGCTCGAGAAATCGTTTCGAATTTTCCACTCACCAATCGTAGTTTTTCACTTGCTTGGAAATCATTGCAGGATACTTTTGACAATAAACGTATGCTTGTGTACAATCATCTGAAGTTGCTTTTTGATCTTCCCGCACTCGAAAAAGAATCACTCATTGGCCTCAAAACTCTTCAACGAGGAATGAATAGTTGTATTTCCGCCATGTCTGTTTACGATGTAATAACGGATCATTGGGATCCAATGCTAGTTTTTATTTGTCTACAACGTTTACCAAAACTAACAGTAACACTCTGGGAACAAACTATCAAAGACAAATCATCTCTATCTACTTGGAAGCAATTAGATGCTTTCCTTTCAGATAGAATACAAACATTGTCGTGTCTTGATAATTTGATTTGTATCAATTCTCCCAGAAAATTGAATTCGCCAAAAAGTCGATCTAGTTCGTTGCTTACTTGCAAACTACAATCACCTAGTTCCAAACTACAATCGCCTAGTTCCAAACTACAATCACCTAGTTTCAAACCACAATCGCCTAGTTCCAAACTACTGTCGCCTAGTTCCACACCACAATCGCATATTTGCACCTCCAAATTGTTCTATCGTACTTGTGTGATGTGTCCCCAGCAGAGCCATCACCTACGAGTCTGCTCTCGTTTGAGAATAGATTCTCATTAGTAAAAAAACATGGTCTTTGCATAAACTGTCTATCACATGGACACCCTGTTAAAAACTGTAGAAATAATCACAATTGCTCCATTTGCAAAAATAGACATCACACGCTACTGCACCGTACACAAAATAGCATAAAGTCCTCAAATACTATAAATGTATCTTCCTCGTCCAATACTTTGTACAAATCTCGCTCCAAATCTAGTTCGATCACTCCCATTCGAAGTTCTCATGCTAAATTGGACAATCGGCAAGTTCTGCACACCACTCAAAACAAAAATTATTGTCGTTGTCGTCTATCCCGAATCTGCGTAGTCATGTATCACACATAGATTTTGCTGACACCTCCAATGATAAAGATATAGACTTGTTATTGGGCGCAGATTTGTACTCTCAAATTCTATCGCTGGTGGCTCAGAAAACTATATTCGGTTATATACTTACAGGACCGATTCCTTATCAAATTGCATAGTTGACATAAGCGAACAACCTTTAATCGTAGTTTATATATCATATTGCAAACTCGCTATTTGTTGTTAATTTGCTGCTCAATAGAAACTGAACTACTATACCTATCGATGCATTTAATTCACAATGCAATTACTAACCCTAGTTTAAGTCGCGTACTAATTTAATATCGGTTGCCACGCAGCTAGCGCGGCAAGGTGGGCGGCAATGTTTAAGTTCGATACATTGCTTACGGCAATGTATATGTTCGATACATTGTTTCCCCTTCTACAGCATTACAATTAACCACTTTAATTGGCCGCTCTTCGGAGCCCAATGGGGAAATCTTCTCTGCATATCTTCCAGGAGCCTCATTCGCCTAGTTCGGATTGTAGGGGAGAGTTTCGCTCTCTTCTACTATATCTCCTGGAAGCCACATTCGCATAGTTCGGATGCAGAGAGGCGCTTTCCAATGCTGTGGTCGTAGTTGTTGATCACGGCCTTGCTGTAGCTTTCTTGCCCATCGCAACATCACTTGCTTTTGAACTCTCGTTGATTAAACTTGCATTATCGTTCTCGTAGAATAAACATCTCTCGCTATCGTCGTTAACGCACGTTAAGGTAAAGTCTTGTTTCTCACGAAACCCATTAACTTTACAATAAAGATTGAAAATATTTACTAAACTCTATTTCGTCTTTCTTTTCTTTATTTTTGGGGTTTCACTGCTACACGGTATCACGCCAACAGATAGTATCAGCGTCTTGTAAAGTGTGAGTTTGGTCTGGCGGGAGATGGCCTTGTTTCTAAACTGCTTACTTAGACCATAGTAGTATCTGTTGGCCATCACAATCCTTCTCCGAATTTCAAAACTGATGTCATTCGTTTTATTTATGGCGGTACCAAGGTATATAAAGTCTTCAACTACCTCGAAGCTGTAGTTCTCAAGTTCCACAGTTGGTCCGAATCTACTGGGCGTCTTGCGCGTTGATACCATCAGCCAGGGCAACGGTCATATGCTGTTTCTAGGCGCTCGTAAAATATGTCTTTGGTCTGTTCATATTTGTCTTCGGTGGGAGCATGGGTGCAAATGAGACTGATATAAAAGAACTTCGCTTTTATACGAATTATAGCAATTCGCTTATCTACTGGAGAGAATCTGGAGACAAGGTATTTTATTCTCCTGCTAACCATAAATCCGCAGCCAAATTCATGTCTCGTTTCATGGCAGCTATAATACAGGGCGTAATCGTCTCATTTACTTACGCCTGGCCCTTTCCATCGCATTTCCTGTAAGGCAAGAATATCGGCTTTGTACTTCTTGAGTATATCCACCAAAGCGAACACTGCGCCTGTTCTGTACAACGTGCGCACATTCCAAGTGCAGATTCGCAGATCGTGGTCCTTTATACGTTTGCGGGTGTCGTCAACATTAGGGGGGTTTGGTTTTCTTTTTCTTAGCTTTTTCATAGTAGGTTGGGTTTTCCGAGAGTGGGCAACTAACCCGACGCCTCAACCCATTTTTTATACTTCTTATGGGTGAACTCACGGCACATATTAGCTCACTATTTCATCGTGGGTGATGATAATAGCTCCCCAGGTGGCACCGCAGAATTGAGATGAAAGAGGGACCAAGATAAGCCATCGTGGGTGATGAGAATAGCTCCCCAAGTGGCACCGCACAATTGAGATGAAAGAGGGACCATGTTAAAGCCAATCAGAGCCGCTGCTTGGTATTTATCAACCTCTACGCCACCCCATATATAGATATAGCTCACATATTTAATTTCGTCCGATTTAACATTAAATTGATCTAAAGATGTTACGGCAAGAATTTTTTTCTATGGGCTACACGAAACACTTCAACTTTAATTCACACTTCCCGACCCTGATACAATGACTTATTTCCTCATTACAAAGTCCTATATGAGTGAGTAGTATAGTAGTGGTGTACTTGTACTCATTTTAAGATTGTTTTCTTTCATTATATGATCTGGTATTTGCCCGTCTATGTATTAGCATGACGTTAGTTTGTTCGGCGAATGAAGCGTAGCGAAAGTAGAAATCTGCAGCAACATTGTTTGTTGCGTGTCTTATCGCAAACTTAATAATGGAAAATCATCGTAGTCTATTCAACATGTTTTCTAACTTTAAAATAATGAGCAAATCTTTGATTAATCTACAATATATGCAGGACTGGTGAAATTTCTAATGTAAAAGTGAACACACACACGCACACATACACTCATATGTGTGTATCTACAAAGCAATAATAATTAGACGAATAATGATTACTAAGCAGATGGGAATTTTTACCAAAGAAACGACCACTTATGAAAGTTTTCTCCGTAGTATTTAATGGTATTTAGAATATTTTGATACAAAGTAGCAGGGTCCGAAGAAGAAGAAACATCAGCATAAGGGAGTCTTGCCTGCATAATTTGTAAAATTCTCTGAATACTATAAACTATAGGATAGATATATGACTAGTTGGATGCATTAAAATTGAAGTTGTTCGAAAGTGTTTTACTTGACCTATATCATTAGACAAGATAACCAGTTTATTGCTAAAAGTAGAAGCAGCAGAACAAGAATTGGTCTATGTAATGGATATTTGGTTTTAGAATACTTAATGAAGTTTTAATCGACATTTATACATTGTTGCAGAAACTATTTGCTTTACGTTAGGATTGAGCTGGGATAATTAGGTCAAAATTGTTCAGAAATGCTGAAAGTTTTGCAAAATTACAATCTCTTAAGAATTTCGTATGAAAAAAACTTAAAATGTATAAGCCATAAACAAATCATACTCATGCAAAGATTATTTACAAAACATAGTAGATAATTGTTATTGAATGTTGATTTAAGAAATCCAAAATGAATCAATTAAGAACTCTTCATTTCATAAATTACTAGGCAACGCTACAGGATGTGGGACTTTAAGTCTGTGGTTAAAAACCATGTGCCTACTAATAATAGAGAGCTATCCTTATATGCTATGTCAAAACATGGAACAACATTGAACCTATATTGTATGTCAGCCCTTCAGAGCCCTTTACACTCAATTTCAGCCACTAACACGTAAACCGACATTTTTATTATACCCTTCACCACACTGTGGCACAGGGTATTATGTCTTTGTGCATATGTTTGTAACAGGCAAAAATAATCGAGATAGACCCATGGTTCCTTTTGAGAATATGCATAGAATCACTTTCTGAGTCGATTTATGCATGTCCGTCCGTCCGTCCGTCTGTCCATGTATTTTTGTGAGCAAAGTACAGGTCGCATTTATGATCCGAATTGGATGAAATTTGGCACAGCTCATTTGTTTGGCCCAAGGACGAACCCTATTGAAATTGGGAAAAATCGGTCTAGATTTAGATATAGCTCCCATATATATTTTCGTCCGATTTAAGGTAAATGGGGTACCAAAGTCCCTACATATCTTTCGATTTGCACGAAATTTGTTATAGCCTACAGAATTAGGTCTAGAATGATGTGTGCAAAGTTTCGTGAAAATCGGTTCAGATTTAGATATAGCTCCCATATATAGTTTCGCCCGATTTTAGGTAAATGGTGTACCAAAGTCCCTGAAAATCATTTGATTTGCACGAATTTTGGCACAGCGTATTGAATTATGTCCACAATGACGTGTGCTTAGTTTCGTGAAAATCGGTTCAGATTTAAATATAGCTAAATGGTCTACCAATGTCCCTATATATCTTTCGATTTGCACGAAATTTGGTATAGCCTACTGAATAAGGTCTAGAATGATGTGCGTTAAGTTTCGTGAAAATCGGTTCAGATTTAGATATAGCTCCCATATATATTTTCGTCCGATTTAAGGTAAATGGGGTACCAAAGTCCCTATATATCTTTCGATTTGCACGAAATTTGGCATAACGTACTGAATTGAGCCTAGAGTGATGTCTGCCAAGTTTCGTGAAAATCGGTCCAGATTTAGATATAGCTCCCATATATAGTTTCGACCGATTTCATGAAAATGGTGCACCAAAGTCCCTATATATCTTTCGATTTGCACGAAATTTGGTATAAAGTACTAAATTGAGCCTAGTTTCGAGGAAATCGGTCCAGATTTAGATATAGCTCCCATATATAGTTTCGTCCGATTTCATGTAAATGGTGCACCAAAGTCCCTATATATCTTTCGATTTGCGCGAAATTTGGCATAATGTACTGAATTGGGCCTACAATGATGTCTGTCAAGTTTCGTGAAAATCGGTCCAGATTTAGATATAGCTCCTATATATAGTTTCGACCGATTTAATATAAATGGTGTATCAAAGTCCCTATATATATTTCGATTTGCACGAAAATTGGCATGGTGTAATGATTTAGATATACCTCCCATATATATTTTCCTCCGATTTAATGTAAATGGTGCTTCAAAGTAAATATATTTGTTAAGTGTCGTGAAAATTGGTTCGTATTTAGATATAGCTCCTATATATATGTGTTAACTGTCGTGAAGATTGGTTCAGATTTAGATATAGCTCCTATATATCGTTTCTTCCGATTTTATGTAAATTGTACACTA